GACGTTTCTACCATCCCAGGCATGCTGCTCCCCTGGGTGGCAGTGTTCACAATGTAGTAGCATTACAGGAATCCTCGGGGCCTCTCTCTTCTTGCCAGGCTGTCAGCAAGTCCTGTCTCTATTTCCAAATCCTACAGAATCCATGCACTTTACCTCCATGGCCACCATCCTAGCTGCCCCATCACCTGTCACCTGGACAACTGCCCTTTCTTCATGTTACTTCCCACACAACAGCAGTGCAGTCTTTAAACATTCAAATAACAGCATGTCCCTCCTCTTAAAACCCTCCAAAGGATCCATTCCATGTAGAACAAAACTCCAGTGTCCTGTGATCTGACCTCTGCCTGACTCGCCATTTAAGTGCACCCGCTGTCCTTTTTGTTCACTGCATGTTGGCCACATGGCCTAGGCTGGCAGTTCCTGGGAAAAGCCACGTTCCTTCCCGCCTCGGGGCCTTTACACTGCTCCTCCCTGTGTCTGGAGGCTCCTCCCGGGTGTCTGGAATGTTCCTCCCTGTCTGGAATGCTCCTCCCTGTCTGGAATGCTCCTCCCTGTCTGGAATGCTCCTTCCGGGGTTTTCACATGCTGCCTCTTCATCTTCCAGGCTTCAGAACGCAGGAACCCAGAGGCCTTGGCAAGGACAGTAGTTAAAGTAGGTCCACCCACTTCTCAAGTAGTCTCTCTTACAACACCATCCTCACTCACTGGCCCTCCTCACAGTGTGCAATTACACTTTGTTATGTGCCTCTCCCACAGAATGTAAGCTCCCTGAAAGCTGGACAGTATCAGTGCCTGCCTGGCCATGCAGGCTCCCAGAGGTGTGCTGAATGAATAAGGGATAGATTGCCTCGTTCAGGCTCAGCCAGCCCCTGGGCCCCAGAGGACAGGGTCCTGTTCTTCGCTCAGCACTCTGCCCGGCGTGGTGCTCGATACCCATTAGTGGAATTGAAATCACTGGACGGAATTCCGGTTCTCTGTGTACAGACTGTTCTCTATTTCCTCATCGCTGTGGAGCCTTTATCTTTGCCCCGAGCACAAGAGTAGAGAAGAGACAGTGGGATGGCTTTCACAAGAGGGGAGCCTTCCCCATGCAACGATGGAGAACCCTCAGAATCCGGGAGGAGTTGTGGGGCTCAGAGGGTTCTGGGAAGCAGAGGTGGGATGATGACAAGGCTGCACAGCCCCAGGAAAGGTGCCAGTGGGGAAGGAAGTCCACACCTTTATCCCCAGCATATTCTGGGCTTTTCAAAGGGATTTTTTTTTAAAAAAACATTTTAAGTTTAATCAGGTTGGTCCCCACATCCACCTGTTTCTTTTGGGAGAGGTAACAGGGAGATAAGTGCTTGCTTCAGGGACTGGTGGATGAGGAAGAAACTGATAGTTCTGTTCCCCAGTGAGCAAGAGGAAAAGACACCTGTTTGGCAGGTGGTGGCCATGGCAAGTCATGGGCAGGCTCCTTCCTGGGGCCTCAGCAAGGCTGAGAGGGGAGGACACCCGGGATGAGATGTGGCCTTTGGGGGAGGAGGATGGTCCCACCAGCCACTAAGCCCCACCCCTCTCCTCAGAGAGAACACCCAGGAACACCTCTCTCACCCCCTCCTACTGCCCCAGCAGGCTCCCCAGAGTACACCCTCAGGCTCCATCCAGTGCCTCGGGTCTCAGGCAATCCACCGGGGAGGGAGGGGGGATGGGAACCCCTGAATTTGCTGCCAGGGAGGTGTGATCCTGGAAGTCCAGACTAGAATTCTGATCGTGTTTCTTTTGAAAGGTGGTGAACATTCGCTCAACAGGTGTTTCTTGAGTGTTGCTAGGAACCGGAAATCCATGAGAAGCAAGAAAGACGCAGACAGGTCCCTGACCTCAGGAGTTTACAGTCCAGTAGGGAGGACTAGCAATTACACTACATCATCACAAGGGCTGAGATGGGAGCGGGAACACAGGACGCTGTGAGGGCTTGGCACACTAGGTTGGCAGTAAATGTGCAGGAAGGACAAATGAGGACATGTCCTGGGGCTATTACATTTCAAGCAGGTTATTAGGCTGCTGTTATGGCCAGGCCTGGGAACCCAGGTGTGACATGGCTTGGATCTTGGAATGCCTTGTCTCACAGAAACCAACCATCCTGAGAAATGAGGTCTGAGAACATTGTTAACAGAAGAGGATACTCCTGGATTCATGTCTATAACAATTCTCTTATCTCTTGTACCTTTGTCCCCCCACACCCCCCAATCTAGGAATAAGTAGCCTGTTAGGGACTTCCATGTAACTGGGAAGCTGTGACATGAAGGACAGGTGGGGAGAGACGGGACACTGCCTGGGGACATCTTCGCCGACACCATGAAATCCCCGGAGTTTGTCGGAAAGGGCTGTGGCACTTGCCTGAATGGCACCGAGGTTCTCAATGAGCTGTTCGGGAGTGGATGACCCCAGGAGCACGGAACTCACACCTTCGTTCCTCAGGCACCATGCTGGGAAGAGAGAACAGGGTCAGGACATCGAAGCCCTTCTGATGACCTTGCACACACCCCCTGCAGCCACCGTGGCTGCACCAAAACTGACTAACTTGTGGGGAGGATGGACAGTGCTCCTGCTTCAGGGTTACCATCCTCAGCAGCACCCCGGCCGTGGAGAGGATTTGGTACATGAGCTTTGCCCTAACGACTGGGGTGCCCAATCCAGCGACACACCCAGGTACACACTCTTGTTCCTGAAAACACCTGGCCCTGCTCAATGGCCAACATCTGGATTCCTCTTTCCACGTTGGCCCACTGCCTCCTGCCTGTCCACCTTTTCAGGCTCTCTATTCCCTCTGTGATGGAGTCCTTGTAGACTTTGAGTGTCTGGTTCCACCTACTGTCAACCCTCTCTGCAACCTTTCTAACACGGTGTTCATCCTGTGTTCATTTTCTCACCAATCCCCAAATCCCTCGCTCTTCTTCCTCTGCGCCTCTGGCTACCTTGACCCTTAAACCTTCTCAACCCCTGTCTGTTGCTCTCAGCAGATGACCTGGCCTCTGGCTTTATGGAAAAAATTAACCCCATCAGGTGGGATATTCCTTAATTCCCCACTCTCCTCTGGACACAGTACACGTCTGCATCCTCCAGTTCAGAGGATGCCATGTGCTGTTCTTACTAACTCTGAACCAAACTCTGCCCTGGATCCGGCTCTTTTTGCCTTTTCTTGGACTTGATTCATTCTCATTCTTCCATTCCTCTCTCTCCCTCTTTGTTTCTCTCTCTCTCTCTCTCTCTCCCCCTCTTCTCCTGAATTTCTTATTTGATACTATCATCTTTTTTCTCAGCAAAATGTGCTCAAATTTCTCCCATTCTAAAATAAGCTTCCTCCAACCCCCATACCTGCCTAGATACTGCCCCATTCTTCTCCCCTTAAATTTCTGAAAGACAATATTTAAAATATATATATATTTTTTATCGATTTCAGAGAGGAAGGGAGAGGGAGAGAGAGCGAAACATCAATGATGAGAGAGAATCATTGATCGGCTGCCTGCTGCACGCCTCACACTGGGGATTGAGCCCACAACCCAGGCATGTGCCCTGACCAGGAATTGAACTATGACCTCCCGGTTCATAGATCAACACTCAACCACTGAGCCACGCCAGTTGTGCTGAAAGGGCATTTTAAAATCCCTGATCCCCCTTCCTTGTCTCTGGTCTCCTTCTTGCCATGTCAGAAGCCAAGGTCCCCAGGAGCCTCCGTGTGGTTAAAGTAGACTTCTGAGTTTGTAGCTGCCTGAACTAGATGATTGTATAGGCCAGTGGTCGGCAAACTGCGGCTCGCGAGCCACATGCGGCTCTTTGGCCCCTTGAGTGTGGCTCCTCCACAAAATACCACGTGCGGGTCGCGCACATACAGTGCGATTGAAACTTCGTGGCCCATACGCAGAAGTCGGTATTTTGTGGAAGAGCCACACTCAAGGGGCCAAAGAGCCGCATGTGGCTCGCGAGCCACAGTTTGCCGACCACTGGTATAGGCCCACAGATGCAGTGTCTGCTGGATGTCCCTGCTAGGTGTCCCATAGGCACTGCAAACTGCTTGCCACTTGCCAAGCCCGTCTCTCTCCTGTGTTCCCAATTTCATTGGGTGGCATCATCAGCAACTTAGCTCCCAATCTAGGAACCTGGGACTTATACTTAGGGACTATCCTTTTCTGATCTCACATTCCCCTTTAATCGCCAAGTCTAGTTGCTATTTAAATATTTCTCTAATCCATTAATTGCCAAGTCTAGTTGCTATTTAAATAATTCTCTAATCCAATGGTTCTCAAAGTTCAGCATGCATCAGAACCACCTAGGGCTTGTGAAACACCAATTATTGGGTGTTTCTAACTCAGAAGGTCTGGGTGGGTGTGAGAATCTGCATTTTTCTTTTTCTTTCTTTTTTTGAGAATCTGCATTTCTGACAAGCTCCCATGTAATGCTGATGCTATTGATCCAGGGACCATGTTATCTTTATTTTAAACTTTATTGGGGTGATTTCTACACTCCAAAAATTTTACCTATTTTGTGCACAATTAAACAATTTTTAGTAAATGTATCAAGTGTGCAACCATCACCATTTTAGGTCCAGTTTTAGAACATTTCCATGACCCCAATAAGCTCCGTCATGCCCATTTACGAAATTAATCCCATTCCTACGGCCAACCCTAGGAAACCACTAATCTACTTTGCACCCTACAGAGTTATTGTTTCTGGACATTTCATCTAAACAGAATTACGCAATATGGGCCTGTGTCTGATTCTCTCGCTGAGCAGGTTTGGGAGGGTCATCCGTGTCACAGCATGCACTCAGTGTATCCTTTCTTTTTCTCGCTGAACAGCTTCGAATTGTGTGGCTGCAGGGACCACAGTGGAGAATCGCTGCTCTGGTCCAGCTGTCTGCTGTCCTCAGGCCCTCACTGTCTTCTGCAAGGCCCTTCTGCTCCTCTTGCTTGGATTGCCCCCTGTCTCCCACCTCCCCCAACCCCCATTCCCATCCCTTCCCCCACTCATCTGGCACAGTTTCTCCAGATACAGATCTGACCATGTCACTTGCCTGGCTAAACATTCTTCTACATGTGCCTGACGTGATCCTTGTCCTACACGATGAGTTCTCATTTCTCACCTGGCAAACCTTGCTCTTTAGCCCAGCTCTCCAGCTCATGTCCCCTCATTCCCTGCCTTGAACTTTGTGCTTCAGGAGCACAGAGCTGTTTGTAAATCCTCTCCACCCCCTTGTCTCCAACTGCTCCTTGGCCTGGAATGTCCCTTTGACTCCTCCCTTCCTTTGCCTCACGAATATCTACTCATCACTTGAGATTCCCCACGGGAACTACCTTCTCTCAGTCCTTCCCTGAGTCCAAGGTTGGGTTGGGAGCCTCTACGTTACTTAAACCCCTGGGTCCTTCCCAGTTATTTTACAGCACTGTATTACAGTGAGCTGTTTGTTTTCTGACTTGCCCATCAGGCTGTGAAATGTGTTTTATTTGTGGTTGGATGCTCAGCATTCAGCCCAGGACCTTCACATAGTAGGTGCTTCGTAAATTTGTTGAATAAACAGATATGAATGATTGATGGATGGAAGAAGGTCCAAGCACCTCTTCTGCCCCTTTTGCTCAAGGCCTGCTGTCAGCTAATACTCTTAAGCTGTTACCATGCTCAGGCCTTTTAAGGCAATCGCTAAATCTTACCACATGGACAAAATAATGTTCTATAAAGACAACAAGCCAAGTGATTCAGGGCTTTTTTTTTGGCAGTGTTATTTCCTGCTTTGCACTTATAACTCTTCTTGGAAGGTCTGAGGGCAAAGCAGGGCCCAGGGAAAAATCATTGCACATAAACTACTTGGTGTCAGCAACAGCCAACTCTCTACTCTGAGGAGCAGGGTGCAGGAGAGCCCACTGGGCAGAACTGCCGAGCCGCAGAGGTAACACATGCAGATGATGCCAATGATTAGCATCTAAGCAAATGTCCCCGAGCAGGCAATCCTCCTGCCTCTTTACCGGCAGGGTGTGAGTGCAGCTCTTGTGCAGGCAAATGACATGGTAGTGCCCACGGTTGGGTTCAAGTAGTTTGTTTCCTGCTCGAGGATTTCCCCTCCCTACACCCTTCTAGCAGATGAATAATGCCTGGAAATAATTCCTCTCTTGGTTTGAGAGCTCTGTGGTTAAAAACAAAACTACTGCTTATAAAGAATGGGGAAAAAAAGGACAGGCAAGATAGATATCGGGGACACAGAGACTCTCCAGAGGATGTTTGGTGTGCATCTAACATCCAGTGGAAGTCTAAGTCTTATAAAGATCTCTTTAAAAAGACAATGTTCCATCTCTTTCAGAGCTAAATTTAATACTCATTTTCACGTTATTACTACCTAAAAACCATATTTATGACTGTTTCAAGAATGGGTGTTTCTCTTTGTGCCTGTTACTCTGCCCATATGCCACGGCTGAGGGTAGACAGAGTTTCAGGTCCAGGGTGTCTAATTCTTTGCAAAAGAAATTATCATCATCATTACTACTTCTACAAAGAGCACTTGCTTTTTGCTTTGCATATGTAATTATCCTTTACTCAAGTAGTTTGTAAGATCTGTATTTTATACCCATTTTACAGAAGAGAAAATTGATAGGTTAAATAACTTGCTGATGGTCAATTAGCTAATACTTTTTACTATGTCCATTAAAGCTGCCGGGGTGCTAACTAATCCCATGAAACATATTCTTTGTTTTGTTGTTGTCATTTGAAAAGATTAAAGCAACAGTCTTACATACACTTAGGTAAATGGTATTCCTTTCCCCCTCCCCCCTGCCAGACCACCTTCCATTTTCATCTTTCTATGACTGTTAACTGCAACTGCCATTTTCCTGCCTTCCAACCTCAGAAGGGTCAACCTTCTAACAAACATTCTATCACATTCTTTTATTTGCCTAGAATTTATCTTGAGCTTTTTATCTCATTAGGTCATTGTATCTGATTTGTCCCAATTCCTGCTATTTTTTAATTCTTTGGATTTTTTTCTAGATTATACACATATTTTATTCTTTTCCCACAGTGTTAGATAGGACATGGGTCCCAAAGGTCTGGGCCATTCTTACTAAACGTTATTCTTGCGGACCAGTTGTAAACGGGGTGAATTTGACAGGACCCCAACCCAGTAAGTGTAGCCAACTGCAATCAACACTATTGACCAAATGGTGTGTACCTAGTATAAGCAATGGCTAAGCCTTCCTTCCGGGAGACAGAGCTTTGGATACGAATCCTGTCTCCTTTACTGGCTGCAAGTAAATAAAACTATCTTGTGACAACCATGTCTCATTCTTGAAGAGGGCACCACAAGTGGTGAACCCTTTGAATTTGGTAACAACAGCTACCACATGAATTCTTTTATCTTCAGTTTCTTCATTTGTAAAGTGGAGATAATAGCAAATACTCCATTAACGCCTGTGAGATAGGGCTTGTAATAGCATGTACTTCATTGGATTGTTTCGACCATAAAGGGGACAAGATAGTGGCAGCAAGTGCTTATCACAGAGCCTGGCAAATATCCCCAACAAGGGAACTGGCAGTCTAAATGCTTTTCTGTCCAACACCCAGCCACATGGGCCTGTGGGACACATGAGATGCGGTTAGCCTGAGTTGAGATGTCCTGTGGGTGTAAAATACATTTTGGATTTTTGAAGACTTAGTATGAAAAATGTGTAAAAGATCTCAATAACTTTTATATTTATTACATGTTAACATGGTCATATGTTGTCTATATTGGGTTAAAGAAAATATTTTAGTATAATTAATTTGCTTGTTTCCATTTTCCTTTTTGAACATGGCCACTAGAACATTGAACATTTACGTGTGTGGTTCACATGGAAATTCTATTGGACATGGCTGGTGGGTGTGGTTTTCCGTTGTTACCAGTGACCATGACCTTTCACCCTCTTCACAGTTTAGAAGAGCGGTTTTCCTGGACCCTCAGAAGGTTCAGGGGGAGGCTGCTGCCCTAGGGTGGGCCTTCCATGTGGCAGTGGCCTTGGGCTCTGTGGCAGCCCTTTCCCAGCCTCTCACCCGCCTCGCCTACGCTTTGACAGGGATTGCAAAGTGAGCCAGAAGAAAGGGATGTCCCTGCACAGCTCAGAGGGCTCTCACCCCCAACACTGGGGATGTATACGTTTTCACTCACCTGTTCTCATTTGAACTGGGATATAAGGGAGAGGAAAAGGAAGGAAGAACAGTTTTTTAGCATGTTGAAAATTCTGGGGTCCTCTGAAAGCCTCATTTTAGATAGTGCTAACCAGGAATTTATGCTCCTGACATCAGTCTGCCCTACAATAGATATTTTATCATGATAGGGATGAGGATCAAGCAGAGAAAATGACATTTTCTGGGCTCTGACAGGGCCCCCTCCCAGTAATTGTCTTACCGACAGCGAGCTGAGGGAGAGTGCAGCCCAGCCGCTCAGCAATCGGAGAGAGGTCTTTTAACTTGTTCTGCTGTTTTCTCCCTTCTTCACTCACAATTCTTTCCTTCAACCACTGGTAGCACTGGGAATAAAAAGAACATTTAAAAGGTAATGTCCAGCCAGGGTTTGATGTCAAAGATGGCCAATGCAATGAAATATAAAAACTTCATCATGAATTCCTGCATCTCCTTCACTCTGAACTTTATGTTTTGTGGTGACAGGATGCTTATGAGTTCTTGCAAAGAAATGTTCTTCATGGTCTCACTCCTTATTTATTGGTTTAAAACAGATTACTTTAAAAAAATATGTTTTCATGGCTTTTAGAGAGAGAGGAAGGGAGTGGATAGAGAGATAGAAGCATCAATGAGAGAGAAACATCCATTGGCTGCCTCCTGTGCACCCTCTACTGGGAATTGAGCAGAAACCTGGGCATGTGTCCAACAGGGAATCAACTGGGCACCTCTTGGTTCATGGGTCAACGATCAACCACTGAGCCATACGGGCTGGCCAAAACAGATTACTTTTGACTAAGTCACCACTGAAATCCATCAACATGCACAAAAGTTGTTAAAATCCTGACCTAATCAATGACATTCAATTTGCTAAGTGGGAGAAATGATGTTTCTTATTGAGGTAGTCCCATTTTAGAATGCAGCAAAAGAAAAAAAAAAGCATTTACATTTCACCAATGTCTATTATGCTTCCTTTTTGTCAAGAAAGCTGGGTGCCAAGCTTTCTGCTCAAAGAAAGCCATTAGCTTACATTCTTGTTATAACTATCTTTCTTCCTCTTGCCTTCTATTTATTCCCAGTTTTGTGTTCATATAACGGGGCTCTATTGTTCGCTTGCTCGCTCCTTCCCAGAAGTAGACATGGTATAACTGACAGGAACCAAGCACATTTAGAAAATTGTCAAGTGGATAAATACTTCCCAGATGTGTAGTACCTTTTCTGTAATGAAATTTAAACAGGTAAGGAAGCTCATAATGGGAAACTGTCCTGTAAAACCTATGAGATGTGACTGACTCTGATCTGTAGATTATAAAGGGAGCCTAATTTCCTATATAAGGAGAAAAATCCTTCGGAACGTCTCAATGGCCTACTTCCCAGAGGGTTCTGCTTACTGTGACATAGGGAATAATAGACTCTCCCGTACAAAGCTGCTACGTTGCAACACCCAAAGGGAAAGAATCTCTAAGAGTCTGTTAGTCTGTTTTAGTGAAAATAATAAAAACCATCCCACTGTGTGGCCATGTGGACTTTCTCCATCGCGTGTTATTTGTGACACAGTTGCCACCGCAGACCTTTGCCTTCCCAAAGGCAGCAGCAGAAAGCTCTGCAATTGTCACTGACACTCCACCCACATGATTTCCATGGGCAGCTGGCGTTTGTTTTTTAAATACTTTGTTTCATCGTTCTGAGACAGTATTTCCAAAGAAAAGAGTAACCACATTATGTGTCTAGAATGAAACTTACGATGAGTTTGGGGAGTGATTTTGCAGATGTGAAAGAGAGAAAGGGCAAGCCATCTCCCGTTCTGTTCGCCTCCTACATCTCTAAGGCGTATGGTCTGGCTCCTCGCTGGAGACTTTGCTCAGGGAGATGGCCAAGAGTGTTCACAGCCTCAGCTCTGGGAAACTCAGCTTCTTCCAGGAGGAAGGGTGGCCTGGAGACCACCGCTGGTGCTAGCGGTGGTGACAGGGACAATTCCGACAATGAACAGGCACCTGGAGCCCAGCAGCCTTCCCTGAGCAGCGTGCTGGGTGCATCAGAGAGCACAGCTCACTTTTGCTGTCCTCACTGGAAAAACATCACCATTCCTCACTTTCACAACATCTTTCAGGGGACCAGTCGATATCTCCAAATAGTATTCAAATTTAGAAGAGGTTGAAGACCAATGGCCAAATGTTGTTTTTGAACAATTGCTCTTTATTATAACTAAGAGAGTTCCTGAGGTTTCAATATATCCCACACACATAAAGAATGGTTGGTTTATGCATCAATCTATGGAAATCCATTTTTCAGATCACATGTGCAATGCATCCTGACTCCTAGGTTTGGGTTACAAGTTATATACTACATGAGTAGATGGGCATACCCACCACGGTGAGAAGCAGACTTCTAAAAGTAACAAATATCAAATATTCATTTATCGAGTCACTCTCTCTCCACCCTCAACTATACCCTCATTGTTGTCTTAATCACTGGAAAACAAGCAGGTTAAGTTTTGTTTTGTTTTTTTTAAGTAGATGCATAGGCATTTAAACTCGGTGTGGGCAGGGCTCGGGCGCCGCAGGGCCAGGCCCAGGGTCAGTGGGCGCCCCCTGCTGCCCCCGCGCCGCCGTTGCAGTTCGGGGGCCGGGCAAGCAGGAGCAGCCGGCTGGAGAAGAGCCTGGGGCTGCTCACCGCCAAGTTCCTGTCGCGGCTGCAGGAGGCGGCTGTGAGGCAGAAAAGAAGGATTTATGACATCACCAACGTCTTGGAAGAGATCGACCTGATTGAGAAAAAGTCCAAAAACAGAGAGGTGTGGGCGCTGGCTGCAACACTAAGGAAGTCCTGGAGAGACGGCGCGACCTCAGCGCCGAGGTCGAGGACCTGGACCTGAGGAAAGGGACCTGGATCAGCAGAAGTCGTGGCCGCCGCAGAGCATCAGCAATGTGATGGATGACGCCCTCCGCGGCAGGTTTTCCTACGTGACCCACGAGGACATCTGCAATTGCTTCCCCGGCGACACACCGTTGGCCGTCCAGGCCCCTGCTGGCACGCAGCTGGAGGGGCTCTTCCAGGGATGGGTCAGAATGGACAGAAGGACCAGATCGACCTGGAGAGTCACCCGGGCCCCGTCCACGTGCTGCTTATAAATAAGGAGTCCAGTTCGTCTCAGCCTGTGGTTTTTCCTGTTCCCCCATCGGAAGACCTCACGCACCCACCCCCTCTCAGCCTTTGACTCCTCCCCGGACTCCGCACAAGCCCAGCCCCGCCCCCGAGCCCCCCAGGGCAGCCTGCCTCTGAGAGGAACCCCGCTCCGCCTCCAGCACCTCCGGGCCACAAACTCTGGCTTCAGATCTATTACTGGAGATACCGTTGATGAGCTGATGTCTTCTGATGTGTTTCCCCTCCTGCGGCTCTCCCCCACCCCAGCGGAGACTACAACTTTAATTGAGATGACAGGGAAGGAGTGTGTGACCTGTCTGATGCCCAGATACTAAATTATCAGACTCCTTGGAAACCTGGGACAGTTATCTACCTCTAACTGAAACCTTGTAGCCTTGCTAATAACCTGAGCATTTATAACGACTGTTTAGGTCTTTTTCCCTAATACTTGCTCTCTGACTTCACAAAACGTCCACCGTGAAAGCAAAGGGCTCCCAAGCCCCTGGAGTGACTGCATTCTGGGACTTCAACTTCCCTTCCAATTCTAACTCCTGTTTTTACTCTTAGGAGAGGAAAGTTAAAAGTAGGTTAAAGGTCATCAAAACCCAAAATGGCCAAGGGCCCATCACTTATTGGTGTTCCGCTTTTACTGCCACGAAGCCGTCGTATTCCTGTGCTCCGATCCTGACGGACAGTCACTGCCACGTATGAAGTGAAGGTGTCCGAGGCTACCGTCACTTCCCGTGAAGAGTTTGTGAAGTGCCTTCGTTCTAGCACTTTAAGTTCACCACGGTTGCTGACTCCTGACATTCTACTTTCCTGGATTATAGGAGAGGGCTGTCTATGTAGTTTGTTTTTAAAATGTGCCAATGCCTGTACATGAACAAGATTTTTAAAAATAAAGTTGTATAAAGAAAAAAAAGTAGATGCATAGGATTTATATTGCTGTTCTCATACCAAAGGAAACGAAAGTGTTTTGGAAATAAAGAGCTTTAACTGCTTTATAAGTGGGAAAATCTTAGCATAGGGAGGAGATGAGGCTTAAATTATTAGTTAATTATAGAAATAAACCAGTGTATTGGGTAGGAAGATTAGTGGTGGGTGTGGTTGTGCATAATAATAAACTAGCTTGTAGACTGTGGGTAATAATCTACGAATCCAAAGATGAAGTTTCCTCTTCTAGTTCTGTCGTGTCATTTCCCCATTGCTGCGGTGATTTGATTACATGTTGATATTTTGTTCTAACTAAGAGAAAGGCAGGGATAGCTTCCTGTTCATCCCAATGTCTCCAGTCCTGATACTGGTTGGCACAGAGGAGGGGCTCAGCCAATATGGCAGAGAGAGAGGAATCTGAGAACCAGGGCCCTACAGCTAGACCTCTTCAGCTCTTCAGATTGAGCATCCAACCTTCACACAGTAGGACTTTGCTGGCAGTTCTGCCTGAGTCCACAGTGCTTGTAGATTCCACTTCTTTCATAATTAGCCTCTTCACATGTCTGTCTCTTGAACAAGTCCCCAAGTTACTCTGAGGGTCGCAGCTGTCCCATTCATCCCTGCATCCTCAGCACTCAGCACAGAGCTGGGCATGGAATAGACACTCAGGAGATATTTGTCAAAGGAACCACAGAAAGAGCTTTTCTCCACAGATTAGTGGGCTATTGCTTTTCTACATAAGTCACAATATTCTCTAAAGTTTTCCTAAAGCCCATTACTTGGCTGCCTCCCAATGCTATGACTGTTATCTGTGTGTCTCCACTTTACAGGTAACTAGAGGCCCGATGCACGAAATTCGTGCAAGGGGGTTGGCCCTTGCAGCCACAGAGGCTTGCCTTGGCCTCGCAGCCCTGGCTTCGTCCGGAAGGTCGTTCGGCTGTCCGATCTAATTAGCATATTATGCTTTTTTTATTATAGATGGTACTGGAGTGGGAACAATCTCTGAGACTGGCCCCATGGAGCCCCCAATTCCCTGTTAATAATCCCGGGTTGGAACTCAGGCAGCAAACATAGAGCCATGGACAGAACCAGTCACATTTCATCTCTGGACCTTGTCTACAGTAATTTATCATCCAAGATCATCGACTATTTCTATTTAAGCATTAAAGTCTTTGTCTTAGAGCAGCAAAGTCTTTACTAGTGAGGTTGAAATCTCTAGGTAAAATGCTGGAGCTAAAAAATTTCCTTCTGAAATTAGACCATAATGTGCAATAACCTTTGTTTCTTAATGTGAACACTTATAGTACTTGCACTGTCTCCACGCCCCCCCCCCCACCCCGGCACCCCACCCCCTAACCTCCCCAGTCACCTAGCTTTGCATGTTTTCTATTTCCCTTTGACAGAGGGGGACATATTTTCATGATTTTTCTATAAGGCATTTTGGTAACAACAGGGAAGAGCTGCCTGTAAGTTTTGTTGCACTTTTCACTTCTATTTAAACTTTCTATTTAAGAGCTACACACCTGGTCTCTTGCTCTGACTTTGTCGACCTTCTATTGCATTCACTCAACCCAGCATTTATTGAGTACCTACTGTGTGCCAGGCTCTGTGACGAGTTACACAAGTAAATTTCAGTGTCTTTCCCAGAAGTATTGACAAATTATTGGTAAGTTGAGAAGTGCTTTGTAGTTGGGGTGTCCCCCTCAATGATTTCCTCAGGGCTATGTTTGTACTGCCTTGAAAATACCCAACAAGGGAGGAGGATGTGAGCTCATCACAGCACCTTATCTTTTTTGCCACTGTCATTGGTCTAACAGGTTGGCACATGACCCAAGCTTCACAAGCCTTTTCTTGACCTAAAAAGATCTCTTTTCTCTCGGGTTACATGGCTTTAAGGCTGTAAACCTTCAATCACTAGCTTTCCTGCCCCTGGCCACACGGAGAAGACCCATTTGCAGTAGAAGAAAATGACACTCCTATGCAGAGAGAAACAGAGAAGACAGAGTCCTGACACTGTGCAAGTCTAGGGATGGAGTCACCCCCGAGGCTGTCTCTCCTCATCCTTCCCACGGAGTGTCTATGTGTTGCCCTTCTTTGATTAAATTAGCTTGAATTTCGCCCTCTTGCTTGCAACCAGAGAATTCTAAGACTCTGTAAGAAGTGTTTAGGGGATAATAAACAAGGAGGAAGATGCATATAACTCAGTTTTATAAAGTGAGGACAGGCTTCGCAGAGGTGAAGACAGACAACCAAGCTTTGTCCTTCGAGATGAGGAGAGCTTCCACAGCAGGATAAAAGAAGTGCATTTCTGGGAGGCAAGAGTCCAGTGCATTTGGGTGGAAAATGAACTAATGGGGCTTGGGGAGGGGCAAGAACAGAAAAATGAGCCCAACTTAGATCCCGAGAGGGTTCCTTCAATGCTTTTCTGTCGGGTTTGGGTTTTGTTCCATAAGCAATGATTGGGAAATCTTTAAAGGATTTTAAGCAGCGTTACCATATGGTCAGATTAATTTTTTAGAAAGATGATTGGTCACAGTGGTGGGTAGTTGAGAAGAGGGGGGAAATCAGAGAATCCAGACAGGTTACTACAGCAAACCAGGTATGAGACAGTCTGAACAAGGCAGTGCAGGGATGGACCAAAGGTCAAGGTGTGGACTAGAGGAGTGGCTGCCCCTTTGGACAAGAGTGAGGGAGGAGAGGAGGCAGCCTGAGAAAAAGCCTTGGTTTCTGACTAAGGTGACCAGATGGCTGGGTGGAGGCCCTGTTAGTCAAGAAGGAAGGGCAGGTTCCGGGGAGTGAGGATAGATTCCACTAGGATTACTGCAGCCTCCCAGAACCCCCTGGGTAGTATTCCTTTCTGAAAGATAGGTATTTTTCATACAGGGTTAATTTATTCCTCAAACACAGTTCAATATTTACAACAGATACAGAATATTAGCATTTTTATTTTATTGGCATAGCTTACAACAGCCAGTGTGAAACACCGTTATTTATTCTATTTGGGGGTGGTGGTGGTGGTGGTGGGTGTATGTGAAAGTTGCCAACTCATTTATCAATTTGCCTAGCTCTCTAACTATAATTTTTTTTTTTTACTATTAGCATTCTTATTCACTCCTAAGATTGTCCTGAAGCTTTCTTTTTCTTTTTCCTTTTCTTTCTTTAGTCACTCTTCTCAAGTGGCTTTCCTAAGTGCGCATGTATCAGTCCGGAAAACACCCAGACTGATGATTTAAGGAGGCGTCAACAGTCTTCAGAACTAAAAACGTCTGCTTTATGATTGGCTGCCTTTCACCTGTTGAGAGCCCTTAATGTTTATTGTTAAGGATGTTTCAAAGTAGACATTGAGTTGTTTTTATAAAAGGTCAAAAATAGAAAACTTTTCTGAGTTGCTTTTGGGTTTAGCCACCTTCAAATACATTGTATCTCCCCGCCCCCTCCTTTTTTTTTCTTTTTTTGTTAGTGTATTTGTGAAAGTTTTTTCAGCTCTCTGTAAGCTCGTCCCAAACAATGATGGAGACTAACCAATCATACAATTCAAATACAGGGTAGCTCCTTCTTCCTTCTTTAAAAAACTGGCTTTGGGGGAGATAAAACGAGGGTCAGGAGACCTGGGTTCTCATAAAACTTTCTCTATTAGGAGTGTTTGCTCTTGGATTGGTAGCTAACCTCTTTGTGCTCAGTTTCTACATCTGGAAAAGGTCTCATAAGGATAGTCTGAGAACAAATACCTGACATTCATGTGGAAGTATTTTGAGCTTTGCAGAAAGCCTCTGAAAGAATGCAAGGCAACATGCTTAGCTATAACTGACTAAAAGTCATCTGTATCCATTTATCTTTGTGAGGATAAAAGGAGACGAATAAAAAACTCCTAGCCCAGTGTTTGGCACATAGTAGATACTCAATAAAACTGCAATTTTCAATGCTTCCCTTCCTTTTTCACTCTCTTCTTGCCTTTTCACTAAAATGCTTTTAGTTTTTCTTTGCTGACTTATTCAGGCTTGGCTCAGAACAATCTTTAATTTACAGAAGCATGACCATATTTTATATTCTAGGATATTTATATTTGTGATAATGCAAAACTAGAAATAGGACAATGTCACCATGCTTATATTGTATTATTTTAGAAAACAAACAAGCTAATAGGTCAACTGTTACTGGCAGAAAGGAAAGAGACAGACCTTGAGAAGGCTCTGATTAGGGCAGCACAGGGTGGTCCCAGCCACACTGATTAAAGGGGTGGTGGTTTGGGTCTAACTTAAGCTGACCTCCCACTAACTTTGTGCTAATGGAGCAAGAGGCTTTGGCTTGTCTAAATTTTGAAAATGCCTATATTCTCTCTCCCCTGATACTATAGAGTAATTTTTGATTCTAATGTTATTACACATTCTGGTGTTTGTTTGTTTTTTTTAAAAAAACAGGCATGTTGTTATTATTAATAAGGAGAGATGTTTGGAGTACTCTCCAATAAATCATTGAGATGTTCTGAACAGAGATAATTTTATGTCAATGATCTTGAATATCTTTACGCTTCAGAAAATAATTTAAGCTAAAAGAGTTAGCAACCACAGTTGACCTCTGAACATCAGCCTTGAGCCCCACTGACAAAGGCTTGGCAATGCTTCTGCTTTCGGAATCCTCCCTCCTGACCCTCCACCCCCACATGGTAAAAAATGCCAACCAATCTCCATCCATACCCAGTTACAACCGGTAACTGGCTGAAATTTTGTTCTGTCAAGAAAAGTAAAATTAGATCTTATACAGAAAAGGAATTTTCTTTCATCAGTTTCAAAAGAGGAATGAAATGCCTTTTTAACAAGAATAGATAACGGTAGGGATTTGAGCTCCAGGAGGAGTCCAACCAGGTCATTGGGCATTTCCCCTAACCCCCAGGAGAATTTTCTGTGCCGGCCGATTTTGAAGGGCTGACTGATGCTTGGCCAAGGGCAGAGACCTCTGGCAGGCTCCGGGCTCCGGGCTCAGGGGAGCAGGCCGGAGGACACCTCCCTGCCAAGGCCACACTCTGCATGAGCCGGAAGACACAGGCTGCTGCAGATCTGTGCTCATCCACATTTTCCCTCCCTCTCTACATCCCTCTTACCCATCCCCAGACTCTTGCAGAGGTGGAGGGAAATACCTTTAGAGAAGCCCTGGAGCTTTCAGGTACCCCGTTCCCGTATTTCCCCGAGATGATCCCGCAGGCCAGTGGAGACCAGGTCATTGCTCCAACTCCTGCAGAAGAAAAACAACTTGAAAAGCTGCTTGTAGGGAACTGGGATCCAAAGTGTGGGGGTGTTTAAGCAGGACTGGTTAGTAGTGGGGAAAAGCCGGACACATTAAAAGAGCTCACACCAACATACATCTTTCTATTAAAATGTAGGCATTGACAAATTGCACTTCATTTTTATAGGCCAATTAAACGTGCACAGTCATAGGGAGTGGACCGTATAAACAAGCCTGAAACTGTGGTTTATTCATGTCCAAACGTCACACTTCTTTTTATTCAGACACAAACGCTTTTACATGTGCGGAAATTCAGTGCTTTACTTGTCCACTCAGTGTCACTCTAGATAGTGCCTGGTACGTACCAGACGCACAATTCCTAGTGCATGGTAAACACACAATGAGTGACAGCAATAATAACAATTGTTATTGTTGACTTTTTTTTTTAATCCTCCTTCCCCTACCCAGCATTTTCCTACTCATGTGAACCTCTGTTTCTTAGGAATAAAGTCATCTCTGGAAACTGTTTATTTAAATAAATAACCCTGAAAATGTGGCTTATTCATGTTTTTCTGATGTCTACAATTTTTGTGTATATCGTATGTATATATTTTCCCCCTCTCGCTGACATCATTATATCCACCTACACAAACATGTAGTGCCTGGCTTGTGAGCTGTCCTTGAATTCCATGTCTGACTCAGTTCCAGGCACAGAGTGGGAGGTAGAGATGTATATATCCATAATCTTTTGGAAAGGCAGTCATAATCTACTCAAGGATGCATGCTCTGGCCACAGCAAGCACCCCAAGAAAAATGAGTTTATTCATGGGTTTCTTCCCTGCATTCTCTGCATTTTTTGAACACCTACTGAGTATAGTTTATATGCCAGTCACAGTTTGCCCCTCTGCTATAGCTACCCTGCAAGCTACACAAAGGCACACTTGATTCTTCTATAGTCTCTGGAATGCATAGCTCTTATTATGTTAATGAAGGACATTTAAGAAGCATTTTAATAACTCAACCCCCCAGATCATGGGGCCTACTATTGTTAAAAATCATCAGTAAATTTGATTGTGGAGATTACCTATTTTATGGTAGAGCTCCGGTAGCTGAACCTCCACTTTCTCTCTCTGGAAAAGATGGTACTCAGCTTGTTCACAGACGGGAGGGATCATATTGAACTGTCTTGCTACAGAGTAGGCTTCCTAGGGAGAAATAAGATTACAACTGGATTTATGCTGATGAGAAATAAGACTGCCCTGTGATTCTATGCATGAGAAATTTTCATTTTAGTAAAATCAATACAAACCAAGAAGCATGGAGGATGCCATACAATAGGCAAAGTTATGACCATCAATTTCACTAAGAGCAATACCAAACGCAAGAAATCCTTATTATTCTTCGGAAGGGTTTGGGCTGAGTAAAGCCCAGGGCAAATTAGTCCCAGTGTGAATTATGGACGATAATAAAGAAAATGTAGTTTGACTAGTTAGAGTCTAAAGAAATGGAACAGACAGTATCTACAGGTGATCTTTAATTAGCATGTGACAAACAGTATAGTCATTTAATAGAGTTTTTAAAAGAAAACTAGAATATTGTGTTCACATATCTCATTAGCTAAGAAATTCAATTTACTCTCTTGCTGCCAAAGACATGCTAAAACGCGTTTCCTGTTAGAGACTTGCACCCTCCCTGTTGTGTTCTGAGCTGATGAGATCCAGCCCCACATCCCTCTCTGTAATGAGGGAACTGACCAGAGAATTCTAGTGCCAAAGCGATTGTGAGGAAAGATTGCAAGAGGTCTTGCAGTTTACACATGGTATCTGAGAAACAGTACATGCATACCTCAGAGATATTGCAGGCTTAGTTCCAGACTACTGCAATAAAGTGAATATGGCAATAAGGTGGGCCACACGAATTTTCTGGCTTCCCAGTGCATAACAAAGTTATGGTCATACTATAATGTAGTCCTGCAATTTTTAACCTTTTTCATCTCATGGCACATATAAACTAATTACTAAAATTTTGCTGCACATCAAAAAATATATTTTTTGCCACTCTGACCAAAAAATAGGTATAATTGATTCATTCACACCAGATGGCTATTATAATGTGGGCTATTGTCATTTTTTTTTTTTTTTACAATCTAAGGGAAAAGAGATCAGTGCCCCTGACTAAATAGTCAGGCATTATATATTTTAAACATTCTTGTGTCATACTGGTTGAAAATCACTTCTGTAGTCTACTAAGTGTGCAATAGCCTTATGTCTAAAATAAAAAAATCAATGTACATATCTTAATTAAAAAATACTTTATTGCAAAAAATGCTGACCATCATCTGAGCCTTCAGCTTGCAAGAGGTAACTTTTTTGCCAGTGGAGGGTAACATCAAGATCGCTGATCATAGATCACCATAACAAATCCTATATATTAAAAGCCGAATATGCAAATCGACTGACCAGTGGAACGACCAGTGGAATGACCGGTTGCAATGATGCACACTGACCACCAGGGAGCAGATGCTCAATGCAGGAGCTGTCCCCAGCCTGCAGGCCCCAGGCCAGCCAAGGCAGGTGCCAGTGGCCCCCCCGACCACCCCACTGGTCGCTCCACAGGTCGGCCCTGATCTAGGGACCCTACCCATGCATGAATTTTGTGCACCGGGCCTCTAGTATAAAAATAATGAAAAAGTTTGAAATTTTGTGAGAATTACCAAAATGTGACACAGAGACAGAAAGTGAGCAAATGCTATTGGAAAACTGGCACCAAGAGCAGCCTTGCCACAAACCTTCAATTTGTAAAAAATGCAGTATGTGTGAAGAACAATAAAACCAAGTGCAATAATACCTGTAATAAGATGCCCAATGGCCATTTAAAAATAGAAATGAAATTACCATGATCTCCATAGCGCTCCACCTGGAGGTTCCCCAGTACATCGCCATGCCTTGGTTTATCACATGTGTCATGGCTCGAACAATTTCTGTGGAAGGCCAAACAGAGAGCATTTCATGAGTTCTATTTTTCAAAGTTATATGGTCTTTGGTTTTTTTCCCCTCCCCTGCCCAAAGCTTAGAAGTTTAATCCAAGTATTTGTTTGATTAATATAATTGCTTTGACATTGGTGACAACATAATAGTCTACCATGAAATATTGATGATGTGGAGGCTGATGGTACTTTTGGGTAAATTGACTTTCCATTTCCATTTGCAGCCACAACACTAAATGATATTAAAAACATAATGAGCACTTTAAGTTCTTCCTTGACTTTTATTGCTTCATGGTTCCTGGCCTGATGAAAGAACACATGATTCACCTCCTTCAGAACCTGGGTACTTTGCTCACTAAAGTGAGAAGTAAGAGAAAGCGTTTGTTTTGACTTTGTAGAATGTAAGGTCACTGAGGAGAGAAGGCCGGCCTCTGTGTGCTGGATTTGCAGAGCTGGGCCTCACACAGGGTGGCGGTATAATAGAGATGACTCAACAGCAATGTATTTAGCAGAAAGATAAACATATTAAATGCTGAGCAAACAGCTGAAGCCGCAGTGGCTCCCAGCCCACAATGGCACTCCTTGTTCTTGACCACTTTGAACCAAACTTTATTCTAAGACACCCGAGTAATGAATTTCCCTGGGGGTGGTGGGGGGGCTGTTTGTAGCCCCACCCAGTTTGCTCATCAGCCTCTCTCAGCCTGACATTACATTTCCTAAACTGGACAATGAATCACTTTGCCGGAGAGGTGGAGCCAAGTTAATCCTCTTGGCACCAGCCCGATGGGATGCAGAATCAGGAAGCATGCAGAGCCTCAAGTTCAACTGAGTGAAAAGTCACAATCGAGGTTGGATTTCTTCTGCAAAGCAGGTCAGCCAAACACCCAGGAAGCTACATCAACTGGCATTTTCAAGAGGTGCAGACTTTAGCTTCTCTGTGTCCCACTAATACCTGTGGGTTAAATGTCCTTCAAAAGAAGCAAAGACAAGTTGAGGTGGATGTATTCTTATTTTATTTCTCATAAACAGCACTGTCTAAATTGGTAGGGGACAGGATTTTGAATGAGGCAGAAGGATTAGGGTCTTAGCTTCCTTGCTTGGTTTACGTAAACCATTTTAAATTGCCCTTGGTTGGTGTCTTTCTTTGGAAGATGGGAAAGCTTTTATTCACCATTTCTAACCAACAGAGGTAGAATTTGGCTTATAAGCTAAACTAACTCAGCAACGGAAACTAGGAAGTTTATTCTCCCTTTATAAAGCAAAAGTTATACAACATGTTTTTCTTTTATTATGCAAATGGAATGATAAACATTTCTGAAAGTTGAAGCCATTTTTAAAATGTCTGCCCCAGAAGTATTCAGAGTTTTGACATCACCATCAGCATACCACTCCATTTCCTTCCCCATCCTGTTTCATTCAGAGCTTAGGAGTTCATTCAATCAACAGTATTTATTAAGTGTCTGCTGAGCTGGGTGCTGGGGATACTGTGGTGAAACACACATATAGGTAAACACTGATGAGGTTCACAGAGAATAAAATGAACCCCAAGACGCTCCCCTGTCTCTAGTCTGTAATCAGTGAGATGAGCACAGAACACTGCGCGGCTTGGCCACATGGCCATCACTGAGACCTTGACTAGAGCAGTTAAGGTGGAGTGGAGGCTGGGAGTACCTTTATTCACTTATTTAACACACAGGATTAAAAGCCTAATAGCTGCCAGGTACTGTGCCAATTGCTGGATTCATCTATGTGTAGAACATACAAACCTCCTGTACTCAGGGGAAGACGGAGATGTAAACAAGTAAGTAATTACAAAATTTGAAGTGTTATGAAGTAAACAGATAGCAGGCGGATATAGAGAATGAGAGGAAAGACCTATTTGGTTAGGCAAGGACGGTCTTCCTGAGGAGTAATGTTTGGCTTGAAAAATAAAAAGGAGCCAGCTTTGGTAAGAACAGGGGCAGCACAACCTCCAGGCAAATGGAACAGCATGTGCAAAGGCCGCGAGGCACAACTTAGTGAGTTCCAGCCACCAGAAGGAAGACATTGTGGCAGGATCTAGTAAGGAAAGAGGACAGAGATAAAAGATGAAGTTGGCAGAGGGAAAACCATGTTATTTGTATGTTATTCAAAGTTTAATGGGAAATCATTAACATTTTTTAGTAAGGGAATAACAGGATGTGTTTCTGTTTCATAATGCTATCTCTGACTGCATGGAGAACCCCAGGGGGAGGATTGCAGGAAGCAGGAAGATCTTGAGGAAGGTATTGCAATATTCCAGACAGGAGGCGAGGATGGCTTGGAATAGGGTGGTGGAATAGAGAAATGGATGGATTCAAATATGCTGTAGAGGAAGAATCCATAAGACCTGCAGATGGACTGAATGCGGCAGGTAAGGGAAAGGTAGGAATCAAGGCAATGTCACAGGTATCTGGCCACTTAGAGTGAAGGAGACTGAGGGAGGAACAGGTTTTTTTTTTTTGGCGGGGGGAGAGGGGGGGGGAATCAATGGTTCCTCATTGGACATGCAAAAAAATGGAAATGCTGCCCTGACCGGTTTGGCTCAGTGGATAGAGCGTCGGCCTGCGTACTGAAGAGTCCCGAGTCGATTCCAGTCAAGGGCATCTACCTTGGTTGCAGGCATATCCCCAGTAAGGAGTGTGCAGGAGGACAGCTGATCGATATATCTCTCTCATCAATGTTTCTAACTCTCTATCCATCTTCCTTCCTCTCTGTAAAAAATCAATAAAATATATTTTTAAAAAAATGGAAATGCCTGTAACATATTTCCAGGAGAGATGTCGTATAGAGATAATTGAATGAATGACATAATAAGCAGTGTGGGCTGGAGGTGATATGTTTATTAGTTACCTGTCTATTACTCATACTTAGATTCATGGAAGTAGGTGAGACTATGTAAGGGGAATCTGCAGAGGGAAGAGAGAAGACGTTTTAAGAGCCAGCCCAGAGGTTGGAGATAGGGCACTGTGGTGTCAGGGTCATCAGCAACCAGAGGGGCAGGAAGGAAGCCAGAGGGGGAACTGTTTCAGAGTCAAGAGCAGGGAATGCTCCAAGAAGGAGCTGTGCCAATACACTGGAACACCGTGAGCATTTAAGTCAAAAGGGCACCTAACAGTGTCCATTGGATTTGGCCACATGACAGGGAGGTCATTGTGGAGCATGAGAAGAGCAGCTTCATTGTCGGTGGTGTGATAAGACCAAGGCCAAGCTGCAGCCGATGGAAGAATGGGCGTGGGAAAGGGAAGACTTGAGAGGCAACTTGGGTAGGCTGAGTTTGGAAGTGAATGGAACAAAGAGGGCAGTAGCTGAAAGGGCCCTTGGGGTCAAAGGAGAGTTTTATTTTTATTTAAAAATATTTTTATTGATTTCAGAAAGGAAGGAATAAGGAGAGAGATAGAAACATCAATGATGAGAGAGAATCATTGATTGGCTGCCTCCTGCTCGCCCCCTACCAGGGGATCAAACCCGCAACCAGGGCATGTGCCCTGACCAGGAATTGAACTGTGACCTCCTGGCCATAGGTTCATGCTCAACTACTGAGCCACACCGGCCAGATGAAAGTTTTATTTTAAAGATGGAAGATATAAGAGTAAACTTGTATGATGTTGGAAGTGATCTAGAAAGAGGCGTTACTGATGATATGGGATGGGGATTGGGGGAAAAAGAAGGGAGAGGCAGACTTGTTAAAGTGAGATGGAGCAGGGCAACATGGGGGGCGGGAGGGGAAGAGAAGGACATGTCTATCAACACAGTGGGACCCAGGAGGTTTGTAGAACTCGTCATGGGAGACATGGGAGCTCCTGTTTGATGAATTCTATTCACATTGAACTATCAGTCAAGTGAAAATGAGGTGGGTGTGAGAAGTGAGGGAAGGAGAGGACAAATAGTTCTGAGTGTGGAAGAGCCTATGAAGACGCTCCAGTGTCCCAGCACTAAAGTTGCTGGTGATTTCTCTCCCCCCGATTTGTTTGGCCTCTGACCCCACAGAGACAAGGTTGGTGGAAGACTGAAAGGAGAACTCCAGGAGTGCTTTTTTCTTTGTCAGAAGCAAAATCGTTATCTTTGAGAAGAGTCTATAATGGAACTAGTATTGCAAGATGTGTAGTTGAGTTTGACTTATCACTGTATTACAATTTGAAAAAGAGCCAAAGGACAACGAAAATTGTAAAAATGGACCACGTGAACTGAGATAGCTTCCTCTATTCTTCTCATTTTGCCTTCATTGGATGAAGGCACTTCTCACCAAGTTCGGGGGAAAAGGATGTCTTTAGAAACACATGGTCTGACAATAATATCACAAATTGCTCATGTAATTGTCCCTACAAATTATTTAACAATAAAATGTATAGAAAGAGAGAAGGACCAGGGCTCTACTTTTCCGGTTAATTGTATTTGTAGTAAAAGCTTAACCAGGGGATCTTATTCTGGAGGAGGCTGCAGGGAGAAATTATGGGAGAACCGAGAGGCCGCAGGTGGAGATTCATGTTGCTAGAAAATAAAATTTAATTTAACATACATTAAAATTTCTTTTTAATGTCAGAGAAAAATCCCCCAAGTGTTGCGATAATAGAATATCGCCATACTGATGGCTGAGGTGGGTTTTTACGTTCTTCGACTACTTAAGGACACTAGAGGGCAGCATTGTTAAGAAAAAAAATAATTGAGTCTGCTGTTTTACTTGTGTATCATGGAAATGCTTTTTAAAAGCATCTGGTCAGAGCATGGATTCTGAGCGGGGAGAAAGACATTAGGAAGATCATTTAGTGCATTGCATTCACCTGCTTCTTGCAAAGAACACACAGACAGACTGACTCAATCTGGCAACCCAGGACTGAATGTGACTACTTTGCTCTTCCAGGAAGCCTTAGCTCCGTGGTTCTCAACCCTGACTGCCCTATCTGGGCTCAGAATGACACTATCCGGGCTCCACCGAAGTCCTATTATATCAGATCTCTGGGTGAGGCCTGGCTTCA